TTAAATATTCTTCATTTAAATTTGATAAATATTTTTGTATATTAAAGAAATTCTAATTTTTGAAAATTTACTGTAATCTGTGGTGTAGTAAGGCGTGCTCATTTGAATCATGTCGTGAATAGTTTAATGTTTCTTGTGTTCACAGTAAAAAATGTCAAAGACAATAACTCACAACTAACAAATTATAGAATTAAAAAAAAAAACAAAAATCATGCGTTTAAGTTTTTTGAACCCAATTCATTTCACTTCACTCGCCTTAAGTTTTAATTTACGACTTGATTGTTTAGGTGACAACTCCACATTCCTTAGTTGTATCGAATTTATTCGAATGACTTACAAGAATTCGTGAGAAGAGAACTAAAATTTACAAATACAATATATACTATTTACTGAATTATATAAAAATGACTTAAATTTATTAACAAATTAAAAAAAAAACTTAATTGCCTATTTTTATAACTCTAACTATAAAGATTTATAAGATTTAGCATTCACTTAAAATTATGAACTTCATGATGTAAAGTCTAATAATAGTTTTTACTAGCATTGTTGCCCTATTTGCTTTCTTACAGTTGCAGTTGATAATTTTGTCCTAATTTAATTCTTAAACATACTGTTGATATTCAAACATCTACTTTAGAAAAACATAGTCCTATGAAGTATAATAAAAATATACATAAAGACTTAAGAATAAGAACAAAAGACTTACTAACATAGAGATTACTGTGATCAAGCAAGCCTTTCCCCCAAAATAAGGATTGCCCATTGCACTACGGTCGAATTGACCTCCGCGATTATTCAAGAAATAGGTATCGAAAGCATTGAATAATATATTCAGGACAGAACCCTGAAATTATTTAATAAGGTGGCTTCATATTCTAATACCACATTACACATGTTTATAATAAAATATTTTATCAGTAATATATGTTGGTATAACATATATGTTGTTATGTAATTTAAATAGAACGTATATTACAGTTGATCACCCAAGTGATAACAGTCATTATGAAAAGGGTTCAGGCACCTTTATCATAAATCACAAGACAAGACAAGCTTAATTATTCCTCAAAATCAAGTTCTATCACAATTTAAATGAATTATGTTTATGTGACTAAGTAGGACAGATTTTATACCACCTTCTTTTTTACTTTGATACTCCTTTTTTCAAATTCGTTTTTTTATAATGTGTCATACGAAGGCGATTTGATAAGTCAGTGACTT